AAACAGGAGCCCAGTTTATATGTTGGGGGAGCCCCTGAATAGTTAGTGAGCCCCTCCAGGGAGACTCACCGGCAACAGAGGTGCTGAGGGCTCCCACCAGTGCTGGGTTTCCAACCTTCCCTTAGCATCAGGGTCACTTTCCATGGTCCTGAATGTCAAGCTCTGGTCCAGGGACATATTGAGAGCACGTGGTAGGTACATTCCCAAAAGGGCTGCCACGCCGGGCAGCACAAAACAACAAGAAGACTAGTTAGCCCTGCCGGATGTTCTTAGTCACCCCAGTGGGACCATTATGGGATCCAAAGACATTCCGGGAAATCTATACTGTGTCGGAGGTGGCCAGTTTCCAAATTATATTTTTTAAAGTTAAAATTATTTATTTGTTTGTTTTAAGGTGGGATAGGGAGGCTGGTGGGCATCCGATTATCCAGCCCTGCCCTGGGGGGTCCTTGTGATGCTGCTCAGGGTGATGAGTCCAATTTGCTCCCTTTGGCCATCGTACCTCACTGCTCCTCGCTTGAGCTGTGGTCGATGGGATGCATGTTCACGTGTTTAGTTCTGCATTTTCCTAACCATGTTTTCCAAACATGCTCCCGCTGTGATGGCAAGCAAGAAGTCGCACCTGCTGGTCTAGAACGGCATGTTCTCCAAAATGAGAGCAATCTCCAATTTCGTCCACCTCGGTGCCCACGCGCAGATGCGCCCACATGCTCTTCAGGAGAGGAAAAGCACTTTGGTGGCATCGCAACTGTAAATAAGGAAACGCTCTAGCCTCCCAGGACACTTGTTTAGGAGCTCCAAAGGCAGGCTTGATGTGAGACAGCTGCCATTTCGAGAGGTTGGATTGATATCTTGCCTTTCTTTCAGGAGCTCAAGGAGGCACACGCAGCTCTCCTGCCTCTTATTTTCCTCGCAACAGCCATGGGAGGTAGGCTAGGCAGAGGGACTGCCCCAAAGTCACCCAGTGAACTTCCATGGCTAACAGCAGATTGGAACCTGTCCAGCCCCTTCGTTGCTATGCCATAGTGGCTAAATAATGGATTAGCCAGGCTTTCTGGGATAAACCACCATTATTTCAGCTAGCACAATGTGCCAAGCCAGCGTTTCTCCACCCCAGCAACTTTTAAGATGTGTGGACTTCGACTCCCAGAATTCCCCAGCCAGCATTCTCTTCTAGAGGTGGAGAAACACTGTGCTAAGCTTTGAAGGTGATTTACGGATCACCACAGCTGGGTTTACAAGGCCCCCTAAACCAGGACCAAACGAACCACATTATGGGCTATATGAACCAGGCCTTTGTTGTCTCATTAACGGCTGTGCCAATTTTTTAACATTAATATGGTTTTTCTATTAGAAGGTGGAGCTGAGCACGTACAAATTTGGCAGAAAGAGGAGGAGGAACTTGGGGAGTTTTGCCTCAAGAGGGATGTGATGGAGCATCGAATTGGGGAGCTGCGTTCCTTACTCTGAGTGTGCTAAGCTACATGGCACCCCTCCTGTCTTGCTTATCTTACGGGTTTGGGAATAACCCTCTTCTTCGCTGTGATGAAATCGAGCACAAGTCTCCGGCTCTTGCTTGCACATGCCACCAGGTGGCAGCATTGCATTGCCAAACTGCCACTGTCCTACCTTTGCGGGTACCGTCAAGAGAGGAAAACCCTTCTGTTTGTTAAAACAGAGGATGAAAAGTAACAAAGCTGGACCATCACGGCATAAAAATGGTCCGGTACAATCTGCAATCCAGCCCCGGTGCCATCTCGGCTGAACACGTGCGGTCACGTCGGCCCCACCTGAAATCTGAGCAATAAGTTGCCAAACATCTCCATCCGAGCTGATCTGGATCCAGAACGCCTCTGCCCGTCTCTTGCCTGAAGGCTGCTTAGGAAAAGCTTCCCTGCACCCTGTCGGACGAGCTGCGGTGGAAGGAGCAGTGCTCCAGGGAATTATCCAGCACCTTGGCAGCTATGCACGTGGGCCCATGCGCACAGACGCACACGCCAGGCTGTTTTCCCTGCAGCAGGGCCCTGGCTCAGCGCCAGCGGGAGAGATCTCCAACCACTGGGCCACCGTGTTATTGGAAGCCCAACAGTTGAGGGGTCTTTCGCTCGGCCTAGAGGCTGGATTATGTCCAACCTTCCAAACAACCTTGTAAAAGTCTCGTGATGGTCTTGATGTTGCAGAAATAGCTGAGTGGCCCCTGACCAGGAGAGCCCCACCACCCCACGCAGGGAATCCCACCCAGGTCTTCCTAGTGGAGATGCCGAGGAGGGCCCTATGCAGCCTGTTTAAGGAAGGCGCTGGCTGCCTGGGGCAAAGGATATGGCAGAAATTGTGGGGGAGGGCTGTAAGCAGGCCGCCTTTTCAGTGGAAGTCCCCTCTTTCTAGAGATGCTGCTAAGTCTGGCTCGGCAAGGAAGGCAAGGTGGGGTATCGGCCCTTGGGATCCAGAAAAATACCCAAAAAAGGTTCTTCATTTACCCCTGGCTGGAATTTGGGGTGGGGGGGACATAAAAACAGCAGGTGGCATGTTTGGACTCCCAAAAACAGGCCAGGGACCAGCTAGACCAAAAGTTGTGCCAGCAAGATGCCATTTTCCCTTCCTCCCCCATTAATTTTTTTATTTATACAATGATGTATACAACACCCACTTCACAAGGACTCAAGGCAGTTTATATCAAGAATAGTAATTATGATTATAATTAGATTTTTATCTCACCTTTTGTATATGTAACTCAAGGTGGCAAACATGCCTAAGACTCAGTAGAAGTACCAGAAAGCAATCCAAAATTGACCAACAAGGCAGCCCAACTATAATCAGTGACCAAACACGATTGTGTTAAATGAATAAAATTTAAATTAAAAAAAAAAGCCACATTTGGCTCATGCTTTAAATTGGAAAACTTCACATACCATTTAATATTTGAAACGTAGGTGATGTGTTTATAATTTTCTTCTTTCTCGTTTTGTTTCTTATTCCTTAATTATTTATCTTTACTCTTGTTTACACTTTGCTTTTGTATTTTTTTTATAGTCAGCTGTTTTTTTAAAAAAATTGTTCAAGTTTTTTTTCCCCTAAGCTTGTATTAAAATAAAGTTTAAATTTAAAAAAAAGTTTTTTAAAAAGCCACATTTGGATGTTTACGGAGCATCCAAAAGACAGGGCAGCAGGGAGTGGACATGCCACCTTAAGGACACAGCCGCTTAGCCCTTCCAGACGCAGAGTCCTGACTCTGCCCCACAGCTTCAGTGATGCCAACCGCTCCTTCCACTTGGAGCTCTGATTGGGGTGCCAGTTGCCGTCGACACATGTTCAGGCCCTCTGTGTCTGCCAAAAACCTGGCCTAATTTAGTTAGCATTTCAAGGGGGGAAAAATCATTTCAAAAGGAAATGATTGAATTTGAGAATGATATTCCAAAGAGAATTGGTAATGGAAGCCCCTCTGCTGCATTGCGGCTTTGTAATTTCCCTGCATCGATGCTAGTATGAATAGGCTAAGTCAATAACAAGATCATTCCCCATATGAGGATCCAAATAATTGAAGCTTGTGAGTGGACTTTGTTCAAGTCAGACTTCTTCACCCATCTAATTTGGGGGGGGGAGAACGGGGAGAGAGGGACAAAGGATTGTGTGCTTCCCCTTCTCTCGGGTGGGACGTGGGGGGGGGGCAATGGAGCACAAAAGCTTTTCTGCGCAGTCCAGACCCATTTTGATTCCTGACCCCCCAAATATCCTTATGAATATTTCATTTCTTCAGCTGTCCGTTCCTGAAATAACTAATGTCAAGATTAAAGAGACAATCAGCCGGAGAGAAGAGGCCAGCGCATCTCGTATCTGTTTGCAAAATCAATGCAATCCTCAGCGCTTGCTTTCATTAACCCCGGAGCCAATCCATGGCCCGTACCAAATGACTACTGAATTGGATCTGGATAAATTGTCTAAGCCAAGCTTTTAGCCTAAGGCAGGATTTGCAGCATTAAGCAACCTCCACCCTGCTTGTTAGTGAAGGGGAGGCCCCCTCAACCTGCCTCTGAGCAAACGGCACCCTTGTGCATGCAAGCCACTGCTTGCCATTCAACAGTCCAGATGGCTCAAGCAAGTGAGCCAAGTCACCAGCTAAGGGAGGCGGGTTGTGCAGCTCACCTGGGCCGCGGGGACGGAGCAAACTGGTAAACTATTGTTGGAAAGTGCTGTGAGGGGGCAATAAGTGTCAGAGCAGGAGCAGAGCTGACAGAGCCAGTTCTTACCAGCAGCTTCTGCATGAATTTCTGGCGCTCGCTCCTAACAGAAACTCAGTTTTAGGGCATCTGCCCAGGGTGTCTGACGGCTCTAATCTAGACCATGCATCAACACAGCGCCATATGGCTGTGCTGCTGACGCTGGGCTTTTGACTAGGCCCATCTTGATCCTTCTGAGTCAGGTCTCCTTTTTGGCACAAGGTGCATTCAAATTCAGAGAGCACTGACCCCTTGCTTAATCTACCAAGAGACTCACCTCCCAGCCAGGAGTTCAGAGCCAGGCTGGTGTAGCGGTGAAGGTGCTGGACCAAAAACCAGAGGCCTTGAGTCCTCCCTTGGAGAGGGAAGGTGGCTGGGTGACCAGGGGCCAGTCACTCTGCCTTAGCCCAGCCCACCTCACGGGGTGGTTGTTACGAGGAAAACAGAAAGGGGGGGGGCTTGTGCAATAAAGACAGGATATAAAGCTAATAATAAATAAGTTAAATAAAGAAATAAACATTGGAACTGTCCAGCTGAAGAGCTGATAGCTCCCAGCTTCACTGTGTTACCCCAAGCAAATATCAACGGTAGGCTTATTTTTTTACACTGGGAAAACACTTAACTGCGACAGAGTGAACAGCCCTAAGTGAATGCGTGGACAGGCCAAGGAGCCAGCCCCAGGGATTCTGGGGACTAGAGACAGCTCTTTGCGCCAGGCGGCCACCATACCCCTCCCAGATGTCCCCAGCCCCAGCCCCGCATGCCGCATAGTCTCCTTCCTCCCACCTTGCAAAATCCAGGTCAGCCTCCCGTGACATCGTGATGTTGGTCAGGTTCTGCTGAAGGATAAAGATGTTCCTGCACATCTTCTTAATCCCGGATTCACTGATGCGGGTGAAGTACTGAGCCCCGTTGATGAGAATGCAGGAAATCAAGTGCCCCAAACCTAGAAGAGATGGGGCAACGGTAGCAGGGGGTCACACTCAGGTAATCAGCTGGGAGAAAGAAGTTTTAAGATCACTTTCTAGCAAAACCGTAAATTACAGTATCTGATTTTTCTCAACTGGCACAGAAAATAGGCCTACCTTTAACTTCTTCCCTGGTTAATTTCTTTTAGAGCAAAGACAAGCAACTCCTAGTGTATGTTTGCAGCTGAGCGTCCATCCATCCATCCATCCATCCATCCATCCATCCATCCATCCATCCATCCATCCATCCATCTATCTATCTATCTATCTATCTATCTATCTAGGGTATTAGGGCACAGGACTGTTATGGTTGATGTTCATTTGCATAGTTTTTGCTGGATGCTGAGCAGAAGAATGCAAATGAACATCAACCATAACAGTCCTGTGCCCTAATACCTATCTATCTATCTATCTATCTATCTATCTATCTAGGGTATTAGGGCACAGGACTGTTATGGTTGATGTTCATTTGCATTCTTCTGCTCAGCATCCAGCAAAAACCTATCTATCTATCTATCTATCTATCTATCTATCTATCTATCTATCTATCTATCTAGGGTATTAGGGCACAGGACTGTTATGGTTGATGTTCATTTGCATTCTTCTGCTCAGCATCCAGCAAAAACTTAAAATAAATCCATCTCCCCCCCCCAGTGGAAACGGAGCAATGTTAGCAAGAAAATAACTCAGAAGCAAATGCTACATAAAGTTATTATTTGCAAGGATAATATATTTTTTAACTCATTGTGGCCCACAATGAGTCTTTGGGATGAACAGGGCTTAAATTATATCAAACAAATCAAGTCATTTGTTGCGCAGCTCTGAACAATGATGCAACCGTTACACTGGAATGTCCAGCTCCGAAAGCTCATTTCTGATGCCCGACTTAGTGTAATTTGTTTTCTGCTCTCCCAAAATATAAAAATGAGAAAGGGATGTCAGAGTGAGATAAACACAGATTTATCCTAATCCCCCAACTCAGGTTATGGAAATCCATCTCATACAAGGGGCATCACTTCCCTAAAAATGTTTGAGGCTCAAAGCCCCAGCACCCTTTCAGATCTCACAGTGAAGGGAACATTCGATGCACGGACCATGCTTTCGATATGCCATAACTTTCTTTTTATGGCTGGGATTTAACCAATGGGTTTATAAACACCACACCAGATGTGGTACAGTCCAGTCAGGGATATACCAACTCCAGGGGAATCAGCCCAGCCGAATGGCAGCCAATATGAGCTGATGTCTTAACCTGGTTTGACCCAGCCTGCAGTTTTGTTTCTGCACCAGTAAGGCCAGGCTCCATTGAAGAGAAAGCAACGTGGGCAACTTGACCCACCTCTCTGGGTATCCTCCTTTCCAAGCTTCTGGAAAGAAACCAACCTTCAAATATGTACTGGAACTTGTGCTGCTGCAGGCTGGCATTCATGGCTTCTTCCACGGCACTGATGTCCTTATTGAGTCGCACCACCAGGGGGTCATAATCCATGCTTTCTACGTTGGCCACGATGGCATAGTTTCCTTGCTTAGCCAAAGGAATCAGATAGTGGAAGCAGTGGACCCTGTGAAACAGAAGGCTGTTGAAACTGCCGCAAGCTTGTCCTGTTAAGCCAGCATTAAGCTCTGGGTGCCAGCAAGAGCATCAAAGGAATGGTGGAACTCAGTTTTCCTGGGTGAGCCACCCTTTAGGCACAAGGAAGCCAAAGCAACGTGGAAGATTCCCAAGGGTAAGGGAGGTTTGTGTTGTATCCAAAGGGTGCCATACTTGACTCTTCAAAATGTAAGAGTATAATTGCTGATTCAAGGAAAATCCAAAGAGACCCTCAAACAGGGTCTCCCTGGGAAAGAAAGGCAGATCAAGATAGAACTTTTCTGATTTAAACCAAGCTATTATAAATGTCCAAATCACCTGCAGTGTAAAAAACGCTTTGCCTGGTTATTTAGTAGAACTGTTTCTCTAGTAATCTATAGGATAGATGTAATTAGTAGTCTAATTATTTATCTAATTTCCCCCCATATTTATGCCCTCCCACTTCCAACAAAGGCAGTGGTTATTCTTGATGCTTCTTCCATGGCCTGATTTCTCCTCTCCTTCCTGATTCAAACTCCTGATCCCACCCTTCCCATCTTGGCCCTTGGTGGCTCAGCTCCCAAGTATCTTCAAGAGTATCTCTTTCAAGCTGAACCAGCCCATCCTCCATTCATCTTGGGTAGGGATCCTTGGGTTTCCCCCATAGGTGAGTCATGTTGGGATGAGAGAGGAGTGCAAAGTGTTTCTCCACTGTTGCCCCATCTCTCTGGAAAACCAATTCCCTGAAGTTTTGGTCAGCGATATAAAACGGGCTTCTCAGAGCTTGGGGAACAAGTTGGCAGGTTGCAAAACATTATGAACAGAGAAGACCTGCACCTTTTCCCTTTATCAAGAAAATAGATAACCATCTCCCCAATCCATCGGTGGATGGTTAGCAAGAGGATCAAGAAAGCTCTTTCTTAATGAACTTAAAGATAAATTGGGTGTGAAAGTGAGTATGTGTTGTTGCCAACATTTCTCTATTCTCTTTCTTCTGGTTAATGACGACTCAGGGAGATTCTTGCTTTTTGGTGCTGAGCAGGTCTATCAAGTGCCTGGCAGGTATCCTCCCAGATAGTATACAGGAAGACCACTGAAACAGAGATAGCTACAGACCTTTCATTTGTAAGGGTTGTTGCCTTTGCCACGGGCACCAGGTTGGGTTAGCGGTGGTTTTATCTGTTTTTATCTATTTATTGACTGATGTTATCATATTTAAAAATGGGTGGAAGTTGCCTTGGATGTGGTGGCATACAAAGGCTGTAATTAAGTTATTCTGGAATTTTTAGAATTCAGGAAAAGTTGTACCAGCTGATTCCGAATATGCAAACTGGGCTGGGTTTTGTCCAAAAGAAAACTAGGTGAGATAAGGAAGAGATCTAGTGTTCACGCTCTGACACTTGTGGGAATGTCCAAGGCACATCTGAACTGAACTGAACTACAAAAGGGAAATTTTGTAAAGTGTGTCAATTACATACATTTATGCAAATGGGCCCAATTTCCATAATGCGTCCCAATTACAGATTATGGGGTGGGAAGTTGCCTTGATTGCTTGACTGAGGCAGCTCTGAAGCAAGGAGTTAACGCGGGGAGGGAAAGAGAAAAGGCAAATATGCATCTGGAAAAGCAGCCTGTCCCCGTGGCAGGGAGAGAAGGTGCTCTCCAGAGCTGGATGTGGACGATGGATTCTGGGCCAGAACTGGAGAAGCACTGTGCCAGCAATCGTATCGGATGAGAGAAAGAACTTCATATTGTTAGCTAAACCTTAGAGCGGGGTGGGACGGCTGGGGCTGCATATCTGCTCCCCTCTGTACCTGAAGGACACGCCAAAGCCTAAGGTGAGCCAAAGAGAGTTGGCTTGATTAGCCACACCCACCTTCGTATCTGGAATTAGCAGCTCCACCTCAAGAGCTCCCATGAGGCAAGAACACAGAAGAAGGGATGCACTGGGCAAGTCCAACTTTTGGAGGGGGCTTCTATTCTAGACCCTTGGAGCAAGGTGGGAGAGGTCCTACCATAAGGCAGGCAAGATGCCCATTTGGCTGTCCAGCCTCTAATCTGGGGGATCCAGGAGTCAACCATGAAACAAGCAGGGACCCAGCTGTACAAATTGGGATCTCTCTTCTCCCTGGAGAAAGATGCTGTCCTCCAAAACGTTTCAGCAATTCATCATCCACATCCTTGATCGTGATTAAAATTAGTCGGGTCTTCTCTAAGCCTGGGAACTAAAACCTGTACTTTCAGGTTCTGGTTAAAGAGAAACCTTAATTAATCCTATTTAATAAACAAACTGCTTAGCTACTGGGGCGGGGATGTTGCTGTAGGAGGATGTTTGTTCTCCCAAGGCTGATTCCTGACCTGCAAACTGCAGTTAACCAGGAGGGGAAGGGGCTTCCGCCCTGGCCCCAAATTCCCAGACGCAGGAGCAAGACGGCTCGTGTCGCCCCCTCTGAGACCTCCACTGCCTCCACACTGATATGTTTACATTGACCTTGACTCCACTTTGGTATTAAGGTTTTCCGAAAACATTGCTGATTGCACAGCAGGAAGCGTGATTTTGCAAAATGCATCTTGGAAGCCATTAACTGTGATCTGTGGCTGCTGCCAAATCACTAAAAGCCCCCTGAAGGTAGGCCTTTCATTTAGGGAAACTGCCTGATAAAGGTGACATTCTGAAAACAGAAATAACAGCTTACTATCGTCTGTTTAAAGTTCAGATCGAAAGATAATAACAGCAGCAGCAGCATTAACCACCATAATAATAGTCATCCCTGGTGACTTTGTGGATCTCTAGCTTTCTTGGTAGCAATACAGATACTCTTCCGAGTATCATTCACCCCTGATCCTGCTTCGCTTCGAAGCCCAGACCAACAACACCTCCTAGGAGATGGTTTCAGCTGTGAAGGTATCCTTGGTGCCAGCCGGCCATTCCTCTCTTGGCGGGAGGTACACATCAGAGCCTGTGCTGATTAATTACAGCATACATTGTCACAGCAAAAAGGCCAAATGTTCTTTTTGCTGGACTTTTCCAAATAGAACATGCTGTGTCAGCAAATGCCACAGAGACATTTCAAGGCAAATAAGCAAAAAAAGAAAAAAGTTGAGTGAGTGGCTTGGAGGCTAAATCCTACTATATGAAAATGGTGAACAGAACTGGGTATGTTCACCCTACAGAAGAGAAGGCTGAAGGGAGACATGAGAGCAGTCTTCCGATACTGAAGGGACATCACGGGGTGGAGGGTGTGGATTTCTCTCCCGTGGTGCCTGTGGTTAGGACAAGAACCAATGGGTGGAAGCTTCCTACAGGGAGATCCAAACTTGAAATAAGGAGGAATTTCCTGACCAAGAGTGCTATTCAGCAGTAGAACAGTCTACCACAGTGTTTCTCAACCTTGGCAGCTTGAAGATGGGTGGACTTCATCTCCCAGCATTCCCCGAGGGAATCCCCTCCAAGGTCCCTTCCAATTCTCTGATTCAATAAATCTCACCAACAGCCAGCAGACCAAGACTACAGCGTCTTTGTGCCCTCCCTCCCACGCCCCCGTGCTTATTTTTGTAACTCATTAGCAAGAGTGACCAGAACAAAGACAAAGAGCCCCTTCTTGGATGAAAGGTGGGTCTAGCCAAGGCCTGAACATGAGATGTCAGACAGATGTGAAACAAAACCTTGCCTTTCTAAAACCTTCTGAATGCAGCTGTGGAAGGTTCTGAGTTTGACTGGGGCACCAGCAGAGGTGCAACTGACCCTTTGCTCCATGGGTTGCTTTTAAATCAGAACTGTACCCCGCTGTTCTCCTGCAACTGGATGGGGGTAAGGTAAAATATTGGGTCTATGTATCTTTTCTCTTGCAAAAGGCAAAGCAGCATGGAAAGGGTCAATCCCTTCCTACATATAACTGCTCCCATTAACTCCAGAGCCTGTTGCAGTGACAGTAAATTCAGACAACACTTGTGGGTGTCTTCTTCTGACTACCTAGAGTCCATGAGATGGTAAAGGGCATAAATAAATAAATTCATACCACACACATACTGGGCTCATACAATATACTGACCCATCAACTAACTAAAAAGCTGGTTTCATACAACATGCTAAGCCCCCCTCCACACTCCAGAAAGTCGAAAGTTAGCTAGGTCTTTCATCAACCTGGTTAAGACTCTTGGGCAAATGCAGCTGGTGTGTATTTTTTAATTGCAACCTGCAATCTTAAATCAAGATGAGGAGTGATTAAAATCTCACATCTGCCATCTCCTGACTCCTACTCTCAGCCCTTCTTCCTCTATCTGCACTACGAGGATAATTATGCAGACCTACCTGACAGGGAGAACAGAAATAATGTATGTGAAATGTTTTTACATGCTAATTTTCCATATAATTGCTCTATATGTGCTTTATAAATAATAATGCTTTCCTCCTTCAGGACTCTGTGGATCTCGGTGATGTCATTTTAGGTTCAGAAATATCCAGATTCAGAAATTCCCACCCAACACAAGGGAAGCCCATCGTGGCAAACTCATGCCTTCCCTGCAATCACTTGGATGCCATACCTGACTTCCAAGTGTAGGACCAGCAAACAGGAGTCTGCCATCTCCTGGAAAGATCGAGCCAAATCCGTGAGGGTTTGTAAGATCTGTTCCAACACCGGCGGGAGATCGGTTTTGCCATGAGCATCTTGGGCAGGAGAAGCTGCAGTCCAAGAGGAAGAGAAATCAGAGGAGTGCTTCTGCTCACGCCCCACCCAAACTGCTCTGCTACTTAAGATGGCCTCCTTCTTAAGCGGACTGAAATGATCCTAAAGGAGCAAGTTTAGCCCTTCTTTTTCAAACAGGTGGTGAACAATCCTGGGGGATCTAGATTACAGTACGGGAATTTGTGTCTCTGGAGCAGAACATCCCCAAAGCAGCCCCCTTTAGATAAAAGAAGTCTACTTCCAGAAGTGTTTCTCCATCAAACAACGGAGTGACTGGCCCCCAAAGATCACTTAGTACTTTGGAAACGTGGTAGTGGTGAGTCCAGCTTCTGGGGAGGAAGAATCTGAACAAGCGGGTGATCACCTCCTCACATCACCCTGGTGTAAAGGGAATTCAAAATTGATTAAGTGGTAGAGCCAAATGCCAGCAATTATATTAAATCTTTCTTTCAGGCTTGAACAACCCCTGGCCAAAATGTTTCATATGATGCATGAATGAGACCCAAAGAATTAACCCCCAGGTGTTCTACTTCTGGCTGTCTACATCTGTGTGATGTCATGCATTGTGACATCCTGCAAATGACAATATCATGAGGTATGTCATGTCGTCATAGCCTGGGGCAGAGGCCTGTAGTTCCAATCACTCATAGCAGCAAAATACTAGGGAGTGCTTAGCTTCTACTCCCACTTCGGTATTTCAGATGGCTCTGCAAAGATTTGACTCTGTGTCTCCTCCCAGTGAACACAAACTCTCTGCCACGCCAGAACCCAGTGCCTGGCCAGGCTTGCAAATGTAAAACACCAAAATTAACAAACCGATTTGGTAAGATGTTACCAAAATATGCACTAGAAGATGTCTAGCAGAGGTGCCTAAGATGTGGCTTGTATGTAGCCAGTTACAACCAAAGGTACCTGCCAGGATAACTTTACAGTAAGAAGTTCTTTTTCTTGCTATGGTCAGTCAACACGCTAGCACATAACCCCAGTGGACAAACTCTTCTGTTTCCCCGTCACATGAAGCCACAACCAGGCAGATCATACTACTGCTTAGTGGGGAATCTCAGCTTGTTTCGGAGGAAGAACTATTTTAAAAAACCAGGGTTTCTAACTTGTGGGAAGTTATTTGCGAAGTTGTACTATTAGTTTAAAGTAGCAATGACAATGTGATGAATAGAACATGGGGAGACAGTTCACCTAACAGTGCATTTAATTTATTGGAAGAATGGCGAGAGAAAAAGCGCTGCAGTTTTTTGTTTTGTTTTTTTAAACATTTTTATGGCAGTTAGTTTATGGGTCCCTCATACTTCACCAGAATTTATGATATGCAACCAGGAGTCATGGCAAGTGAAATGCAACAAAATCTAGACGGGGAGGAAAATTAACTCATTTTGAAGCCTCACGTAGAAATAGGAAGAGAGTCAGGATGGGAAACTTCTGTTTTGCAAATCTATTTCTCACGACTACATGTTGAAGATGGCATCGTGCACACGTGCTGTTCTGTCCTCGGATACAAAGGGAAGTTCTTTGTAAAGTTCTTCCAAACCTATGTCAGAGGTAAGATGATAGTTTGGGAAATGCAGAGTTCATTTAACGGATCAAGAGGGAAATCATAAACCTAGCTTTTTCCATTCCACACTTTTACATGAATTCCAGAATGGGGGGCGGGGGGTTCTAAAGGGAAGATGTTAAGTGTTAATTTAATATTTGGTCCTCCACCCTCTGGAGAACAGTTGCAGTGAAATGGCTTGGGCATAACTCCCAGACCCATCCTGGGGCTCCTTCTTGTCCTGGTAAATTGGATGAACAAAGTTGGGGAAGCTTCAGGAAACATCCAGATCCTGGGATTCATGGTGGTGCAACAGAGAGTCTGATCTGTCCTAATCCAAACCAGGTTTGAGCCTTACAAATGAGTATGCCAGCTTGGGGCTAAATCCAGAATAAATGTGGATGGATTTCCACAGACCAACTTCACACATCATACTAAGCTGTGATTTGTTCAACCATAGTTTACTGAAAACAGCTACAGTTTACTGCAGTGTTTCTCAACCTCAGCAACTTTAAGACGAGTGGACTTCAACTCCCAGAATTCCC